GGGTATGGGGGGGCCATGGGGCAGGGGTGGGAAATGATGATATGGGGGCAGGTGGCAGGGAGAGGGGACAATGATGGGGACAGATGTGGGAACGGGGATGGAAACTGGGGCAGGGGACAGAGATGGGGACAGGGTGACAGCCCAGGCGCAGGGGCTGGGGGACAGGGGTGAGGGACTGGGGCAGGGGCAGGGCACTGGGGAGAGGGGGCTCAGCCTCCCACCACCAGCCCACCTACAGTGGCCCTCAGTCCCCAGGGAGAGGGGACCTCCCCGAGGGGGGGACCCCCACCAGAGAGGGGGTCCTGGCCAGGAGAAGCGGTCCCTGCAGGGTCCCACAGCCCCAGCCCGGGCACCCACAGCCCTGCTCCAGTCAGGGTCCCGAGCGGGGGAAGGTTCCCCTGTCCCCTCCCAGGGGTGCTGTGTGTGTCCCGTGGGGCTGTGCATGTCCCATGGAGCCATGGATGTCCCATGCAGCTCTGCGTGTCCTATGGAGCCATGTGTCCCCCCTGGACCCGTGGATGTCCCGTGAAGCCACCTGTGTCTCATGGAGCTGTGCATGTCCCATGGACCCATGGATGTCCCATGAAGCCATCCATGTTCCGTGGAGCCACGGATGTCCCATGGAGCTGTACACATCCCACGGAAGCATCCGTGTCCCATGGCACTATGGAAGTCCCATGGAACCATACACGTCCCTTGGAGCTGTGGATGGCCCATGGAGCCGCACATGGCCCGTGGAGCCATGGATGTCCCGCAGAGCCATGTGTCCCCCATGGACCTATGGATGTCCCATGGAGCCACGGATGTCCCATGGAGCCATCCATGTTCCACAGAACCATTAGTGTCCCATGGAGCCATATGTGTGCCTTGGAGCTGTAGACGTCTCATGATGCCATCTGTATCCCATGAACCTATGGACGCTCCACAGAGCCATTCACATCCCATGCACGTCCCACGACGCACGTCCCACCTTCGTGTCCCCTCCACGGGGCAGCGCTCACGGCAGCAGCCCCCCAGGCTCCCATTTTGGGCTCCTCCACCCAAGCCACACAGGACCCCACATTGGTGACCGCCTTTCCTGGCCTGGCCCCGGAGCTGGACAGGCTTCCAGGCTGTCATTTACGGCAGAGCCAAACCCAGGGCAACAGGGATGTCTTGCCGTGCGGTTAAACCGGCTCCGGTTGCTGGCCGTGGGCGGAGGGGTCCTGCCCACCCTGAGATTAAACCCCCGCAGTTGCAACATGGGGGACATGGGGGACACTAGGGGCACACCCAGACCCATCCCGCGGGCATCCAGCAGCTCCGGGAGCTGGGATGGCACGGCACTGAGTCCCCGTCCCTGGCACGGCCCCTGCCAAAAGCAGGTCAGCGCCGGGGCCCGTGTGGCAGCTAATCCTGGCAAATCCCCCCGCTGGCACATGTGCCGGGCACACGTGGCCAGAGCAGGGCCGCGACGGTGGCACCGGGGAGCTGCCTGGCACCTGCTGGGATGGGGACAGTCGAGGGGTGTTGGGTGGAGGGGAGTTGGATTTTGGGGTACTCGGGTGTCGGTGTGTGCCTGTGTCACCCAGGCGTGTGCCCACACGTGTGCTGTGGCTGTGGCCAGCACGGGGTGCATGGCTGGGGAGTGTCCATGTGTGCAGGGCTGCGCGTGTCCCCGGGCACCTGTGGCTGCGTCCCCATGTGCACGCCTGTCCCCGTGTCCCCGGGGTACCCCCGTGTCCCCCGCATCCACAGGGAAGGGGGGCTGTGGTGGGCCGTGTCCCCATGCCTGGTGCTGTCCCTGTCCCTGTCCCTCTCCTGGTGCCCGTCGCTTTCCTGGTCCCAGTGCCTGTCCCTGTCCCGCTGCCGGTGCTGGTCCTGCTGCCTGTCCTGGTCCCTGTCCCGGTCCCTGTCCCTCTCCCAGTGCCTCTCCCAGTCCCTGTCCTTGTCCTGGTCCCCATCCCTGTCCCCATTGCCATCCCTGTCCTGGTGCCAGTCCCTGCCCCTGCTCCTATCCCTGTCCCGGTCCCCATCCTGGTCCCGGCCCTTGCCCCTATCTCAGGCCCGGTCCCTGCTCCCTGTCCCTGTCCCCATCCTGGTCCCCATCTCCACCCCTGTCCCGGTTCCAGCCCTGGTCCCTTTCCCCATCCCGGCCCTGGTCCCTGGTCCCTGTCCCCATCCCCGTCCCCATCTCCACCCCTGTCCTGGTGCCTGCTCCTGTCCCTGTCCCACTCCCAGCCCTGGTCCCTGTCCCTGTCCCTGTCCCTGTCCC